ATGATTTCATTTATATGGTTGTTGATCGTTTTTGTAAAATGATTCCTTTTACCCCTTGCAAAAAGGCAACAAATACATTAATGTAGCTTGTCTTTATTTTTGGAAGGTGTATCGCCTATATGTTCTATCGACATCCATTATTTCGATAGAGATGCAAGGTTCCTTGATCATTTTTGGTGTAATTTTGTGAAAGATGTTGAACATGTAATTAAATTTCAGCAATGCCTATCACCCATTGATAGACGAATAAACCGAAGTCTTCAATCGGTCTTTGGAAAACTTACTACAATGTTTGGTTGGTTATCATGTTAAGAGTTATGATTAGAAGTTGTGCCAAGCTAAATTTACTTATAAGCATACCGTGAACAGGAGTACTAGATTTAATCCATTCCAGTGTATCGTATTCTGTCGCTCCTGAGGGCCTTTGGATCGGATTCCTCTACCTAATAAAACCAAGATTCATAGCAAGGTAGCTGATTTTGTGATGGGATTACAAGAAATTCACAAGGCTATGCATGATAACTTGACTCAATCTTATTCGAAGTACAAGGTAGCTATCGACAATGTCAAGTTCGAAAAAGGTGACTTTGTGTGGGCTGTCCTTACCAAGGATCATTTTTCTATAGGAAAGTACAACAAACTAGTAGCAAAGAAGATTGGCCCCGTGAAGATAGTTAAGAATATTAATCGTAATGCTTATCGCCTCAAGCTAACTTGTCATATTCGCACCGTCGATGTGTTCAATATCAAGCATTTGATTCCCTTTTGTGGTGATAATTTTGATGATGATGATGTATGCAATTCGAAGGTGAATTTTCTCTTTCCTAGAGGGAATGATACAAACCAACAAGGCCTAGAATTCATGGAGCGATATGAAAATTGTCGATCCAATTTTGAGGTTTCTTGTGCCTAGTTCAATACCAAATGACCCAACGAATAAAACTCATCACTATGTCATGATGTGGGGGCGATTTTGACCAAAAAACACTTTTTAGGCCCTCAAAATCGACTTTTACCGTTTTTTGAGATTCTTCCTATTTTTTTGAATGTTTGTATTTGTTTCCCTTTTGAGTTGGTTTAAGGCTTTTTCAGATTTTTTTTTCTATTTATTTATGAATTAAAGGCAAAAAAAAATGTACTTTTTTTTATTAATAAAACTTTATGATAAAGTATCTCAATTTTATTCTAATTTTTAGCATTATTTGAATCAATAAAATTTAATGCCTATTTTTTAGTATTTGTCTACAATTCAACAGATTGTAGTATACCACCATCCGAAACTTGTGTGTGAGTTTTTAGATCAACGACGTTTATTTTCTTCTTATAAGTTTTCGCTACGTCAATTATATCCTATTTGGAGCTAGAATATGCAAAGATTTACTCATTATAAGACAAGTGCTTTATTTATTATTTTTTAAAAACAAAATAAATCAGCATGTGTTTAAGTTAATAACCTTTTTTTTTAGAAAAAATTTAACCATGTTATTGGTTTGATATAGAGAATAGTGATTTAGTCTTAAATTGGAAAATATATATTTCGCAAAAATTTCCATCGGTATATTAGCGACACCAAACTATGGTTTAGCGACTACATTTAAGGACCAAATTCTAATAGGGATTTTTATCTCTATATAGCAACGGAAGTAAAACAACCTATCGATGGTGTTGCGATAGATGTTACAATTAAAAACCAATTATTTACATCATATTAGTGACAAAAGAACTTCATTATAGAGACAACTTGTCCATCACTAAGATTATGATAAATGGTAACTTCCATCGTTAAAATTATTAACGACAAGCATTTTACTTATAGTATGATTTTGTCGTCATTTCGTCGCTATAAGAAAATAACGATAGAATATTTTGGTAATCAAATGTGTTTGTTTGGAAAAAAAACAAGTTTCAAGAACTTATTTACCTATTTTTTAGTGTTTGCTTCGCATTTAGAAAAAAAAATCAATGGAAAATGATAAATTATTTTTGGGAAAATGTTTTTCGAGTTCAAGAAAAAAAAAAGGAAAACACTTTTCTTCTCATGAGTTGTCTCGCTCTCACATTACTTACCTCTTTCTCAATATATTTTAATAATTTTTCTGACTTCTTTTTATTTAAAATATATCAAATTAATTTTTAATTATTCCTTATCAATTATTTTTTTTAATTTTTTTCTATTTCTACTAACATTTGATTTTTTGATTTATAAATACATTAAATACTCTTAAAAATAATTTTTGCACCTTAAAATTATTTTTATAATTGATATTTCAATAATTTATCTCTATTGTTATACTATTATCTCAAACACTACCTAAACTATACTTAAATGATTAGAAACGATTATTACAAAATCACAAATTATTTGTAAAAAAAATTGAAATTAATTAATTTGTTAATAAATACATTATTTTTTCAATACTATTCATTTGCAACTAAATCAATAATTTGTAATTTTATTCAATTGTAAAATTTTGTTGGTAATTGTAGTGAATAATTAGTTATAAATTATTCCAACATTAATCTTTTGAAATCAAATGAATGATTATATATAAATGATAACTAATAATTTATAAAACCATTTTTTAGACAAAATTATCGGTTCAGTTTAAAAAAATAATAATAATAAAAAATAAAAAATTCTTAATTGAGTTACCAAAATAACAATGCTAAGATTACTTAGAATATATATATATATATATATATATATATATATATATATATATATATATATATATATATATATATATATATATATATATATATTGACTTGATTTTGTGCAAGTAATTTTGATGAATTGGTTTGATGGTTAAAAAAATATATTTTATTTTTTGAATTTAAATTTTAGAGCTAGTATTTGTGAAAATTTATTAAATTTTTCTAAATTTATCTTATATTGTGAAATTGTGAATATGTCTTTTTTATGTTTTTTAAAACTCGCCGATATAACAATCACATACTGTTTTTGTATTTTAATTTTCTATATCAACCAAATGATGGAATATATTTTTCAGTAGCTTTTTTATGCAATTACCAAATGGCAGAAATATTTTTGAAAATAATTTCCTGAAAAATAACTTGTTCAAGAATTGATTTTCTCATGAAAGTCGTTTTTCGCCAAATAAACGGACCCTAAAGACTTAATTTATATATATATATATATATATATATATATATATATATATATATATATATATATAATTTATTTATTTATTATTTATTATTTATTTATTTTTTTTTGTGGTGATATTGAACTACAAAATGGTAATGTAAGACTGCCAAGTAGTATATTTTTCTATAAACAGCAGTATATTTCAATTACGTTCTTTTTGTAAAATTAGATGTGAATGTTTTGCTCGGAATTCCAAGAAAATGCAAGCACTCACCGGTATTACAAAAAATGGAAATGATAGTACGAAGTGCCAACCAGCAAATATTTTCTACAAACAACAATATGTCCTTAGTATCTTCTTTTGGTAAAATTAGGTGTGAATATTTCTATTCCAAATTTCTCTGTTTTTCATTAACAATGTGTTGTTGCCCTGTCAACCAATCATTTCCTAATGATTATAAAAATGGAACATGACCTATATGTTTAATCTAAGATATATACAAATGAAGTCGGAAGACAACCCAGATGTCTTCCCACTGTGTCTTGTCTGACAAAAGCAAGTGTCTAATGTTTAATTTGGTTGCAGATAACCATTTTTTTTTTTTTCTTACAAATAAATTAACCATCCTGTTTTGGTAAGGAAAAAAAGAGTCCTTAATTATTAATCCTGAAGGCCAGAGTCTAGAGAGGAAGCATCAGCAAGTCAAATGTAACATATTTCCTACCAATAAGAACCTTACAATACAAGGCTGATTATGAGTATTAATTCATACAATATTGTAAGCATCACAGTTGAGAAGTTGAACAACCAAGTACCAACATACAAAATTTTCCTGCCAACTTCGAACTAAGCCTTCAAAATTCCTCCCTATTCTCCACATCCTAAATCTATAAAACCCCATCAATTGCACAGAAAATACCACTGCACAAAACACACTTCTTACTGTTTGTGATTTGCTAAAACTCGCTTTCTCTCCAAGCCATTATATTGCTAGCTATCTCCACAGCCATGGTCAACCATAAATTCCCATCATTCATTTTACCACTTATGGTGATCAGTATGTCACTGATGATCAGCCAGACAATTCTGGTAGAGGCACGCCAACTCCTAGAGATAACATTGCCTGAGCTTCCTAAGCCTGAATTTCCTGAGCTTCCCAAGCCTGAATTTCCTGAGCTTCCCAAACCCGAATTACCTGAGTTTCCTAAGCCTGAATTGCCTACAATTCCAAAACCAGAATTACCTGAGCTTCATAAGCCTGAGTTGCCTAAGTTGCCTGAACTCCCAAAACCTGAATTGCCGAAGCTTGAAGTGCCAAAACTGCCTGAATTGCCAACTTTCCCCCATTTGCCTGAGATGCCTAAGCCCACATTGCCAACTATTCCTAAGGACATCGACCCATCTCACTCCACTTCTAGCCCTTGAAATCAGAATGATCTCTCCACATCCTTCATCTTTGCATGGTGTATTATTGCCTTGTGTGATGATCATTAATTATACTGTTCTCTAGCTATTTCCTTATGTATATCTTTCTCTTTATTACAGAGGAGCTGTATTGTGTTATTGTTGCTTGTATTTTAGACTTATATTCACAGTTACATTATATGTAATGGATACACTTTTCTTTTGGTTCTGAATTTTAATTTGCCATTTCAGTAATCACTTCAGATATATATATACATATATATATATATATATATATATATGCAACAATCCATCCCCAATTACCCGGAAGAAAAAACTGACTCGAAGGTGCCCATTTAAACCAAAAATAAAAAAATTACCTGTGTTAACAAGTAATTAATGTGAATGCATTCCGAGTTGCTTGGAGAAATATAAGTGAGAAGTCTCTAATTTAAATAATTTGAATGATATCAAAGATGAGCGTTATGGCAAAGTACTGTTCTCTGCCTTTGCAACTCTAGTTGGAAGATATTAGATACGGGCGCAGATAATTATCCCATATTTGGAGCTAGAACAAGAAAAGATTTACTTATTATAAGACAAGTACATTATTTATTTAAAAAAAATAAAATTTAATCAGCACGTTTTAAAGTTAACAACAATTTTTATTTATTTTATTTTTTTGAAAAAAGTTAAGAACAATGTCAATTTGACACTAAGTAAATCATAAAAAAAACATATAGAGAATAGTGATTAAATTGGAAAAATATATATTTCACAAATATATCTGTTACACAAATTCAATTTGACACTAAAAAGAAAAAAAATGATGAGAGGCGGAGTCAGGATAAATTTCTAGTTTACAAATAATTTTTCTTTCATATAAGAGTTCAACATTTATGATCCACTTTTATAAGAAAAGAAAAATACAGTTTAACTATTCTTAATATATATAATCCAAAGAGAAAATTAATTAATTAATTAATTGAGAGTTTAAAAAACCAAAAAAATTACAGTTTAACTATTCCCAAAAAATAGGTTAACTCAATTGCCATTATGCTTAAAAAGAGGTTAATTAAATAAGTTACAAGTAGAAGAGTTGGTTTTGAACCGCAAACAGGTGTAGATGAGGTTTAAGACAAGGCAAAATTTCTAAATTTATCCTTGTTAGTATCAATTAGCCATATTTATTCTTGTGTTTTTAATTTGTTCAATTAATTCTTTTGTTCTTTGAATTCATTTAATTAACCTTTATGGTCAACAAATTTATCCCATTAATCAAATAGTTGAGTACTTATAATGAGCCTCAATTCTACTATGAATCCAGATATTATATTATTAAATATTTTGTTATTTGTCATGACTTATATTAAGTCTCGATTCATATTGTACATGGATGAATGATGAATATAAATACAATTGATTTTTTATATATTTTTTTTACTGGGCTCTATTTTTTTAAAATAATTTATTAATTTTCTTATTATTATTATTATTGTTATTGTTATTATTATTTTGGATTTCCACGTTATTTCAGGTCCAAAATTTTAGATTAATTCCTTACTATTCGATCAAATGATAAATTAGAACTTCAAACTACTTATTTAAATGATTAGAACTTTTTTAGTTCAAACCAATTTTTTTGGATTTATTGATTTATTTGAATACACACAACATGAATATAAAATAATAAAAAGTATTAATTGCCACATAATTTAGGATGCGTAGTTAACAGAAAAAACTGGATAGAAGTTAGCTATAATTAAGTTAATAACTCATTAAAAAACGAGGATTAACTCAACAAAATAATTATAAAAAAAAAAAAACAAGTGATAATTGAAAAAAAAAAAACCAAATTATTATATAGGGATAAAAAATGAATAACCGACAAGAATAGATAAATTTAGGAATTTGGCCTAAAATAATTTCTAATATTCATTCCTTTATTTCTCCTAGAAAATAACTTTAGTTTTAAAATGAATAACCGACAAAAAAAAAAAAAAAAGAAGAAGATAAATTTAGGAGTTTTGCCTAAAATAATTTCTAATATTCATTCCTTTATTTCTCCTATAAAATAACTTTAGTTTTAATAGTTTATCCTTCTAACAACCTTTCCTAATAAATACACTAGCTAATATGATTCTTATTTTGAGACCACTGTGTATATAAGTCTGAGCATAAGCACATCCGCAGATAGATTTTTCCAGGAGGAGAGTCCCACATCTAAACAGATTAATCATTTATTGATTAAGATGTACTGATATGACTATCTGTTGATCAGATAATTATAATGCTAGATAAAAATATATACAGCTTATCTCAGAAAAGGGATTTGCAATTTATTTTACTTTATCAATCCAAATATCCGATAAATTGATCACATACAACAAACAAATCTTTACCATTTCCCGGCGGGGGGGGGGGGGGGGGGGGGGAACATTTCTCCACTACCAGGCATACAAAAAGGGTCAAAATCATCAGCATAATTGTTTTCCATTGTGCTTCTTTCTTTCTTTCTACTGCTAGAAGGACTCCTGGAATTTTAACATCCCGTTCATTAGCCGATGCTGATGCTACTCATACCGGTTCAAACTTCACTTCTGTTTGTGATCCTTCAAGATATGCTAGTCTAGGATTAGATATGTCAAACTTTGGCTTTTGTAATAAGTCATTGCCTTATGATGTGAGGGCAATGGATTTAGTCCATCATATGACCGTATATGAAAAAGTGCGTCAACTTGGAAATAAAGCTTATCGAGTGCCCAGGTTAGGGCTTCCTGAATATGAGTGGTGGTCAGAAGCCCTTCATGGAGTGGCAGATTCAGGCCCTGGAAGCTATTTCGACCATGTGGTTCCAGGTTCACCAAGTTTTCCCACTGTAATAACAACTTCAGCAACATTTAATGAGACATTATGGAGAACTATTGGTCAGGTACGCATGGCATGTTAATCGTCTTTCTTTTGTTGACTTCTTATTACATCATTAAAAATTGTTTTGAAGATCTAATTGCTTATGTTTGTCCTGCTTTACAGGCTGTTTCAACAGAAGCAAGAGCCATGCACAACTTAGGTCGTGCTGGGTTAACATTTTTTAGTCCAAATATTAATGTTGTAAGGGATCCTCGATGGGGAAGAATCCTTGAAACACCCGGTGAAGATCCTTACATTGTTGGTGCATATGGTGTTAATTATGTGAGAGGTTTACAAGATGTTGAGGGAACGGAGAATTACACTGATCTGAACTCTAGACCTCTTAAAGTTTCTTCATGCTGCAAGCATTATCCTGCCTACGATCTTGACAAATGGAATGGGACTGACCTTCTTATTTTTTATGCCAGAGTAATAAACTCTCGTTAATGAAGCAACATTTTATTCTAAAGTACATGAATTTTGAAAACATTAAAAGGGACTTTTTTTTTGGAAGGTGGCAGAACAAGATATGGTGGAAACTTTCCTTCGAACTTTTGAAATGCGCGCTAAAGATGGTGATGTTAGCAGTGCTATGCGTTCTTTCAATCGTGTCAATGGGATACCTACGTGTGCCGATCCAAAGATTTTAAACCAAACTATCAGAGATTAATTGGAATCTTCACGGGTACTTAAAATCTATTGTATTTATTTTATTTTTGGTATTACATATATATAAAGTATGAATATGCATATATTTTATTTTTTTAATATTCTGTATTATTTTAATTTTTATATTCTGTATATAACAAATTTACATAAAATTTGAATATGCATGTATTTTATTTTTGATATTCTAAATATAATAGATTTAAATAAAATTTTGACTAGCCATGTGTTGTCTGTTTTATTTTTTATATATCTTTACTTAATCGTCTGGTCACTGCTGAAATTGAATTTCTAGTGGTTGATCTAACTAAATAATTAATCATATTGCATTTCTTTTAGTGCATGAGTTTTATTGCTATTTTTGTGTTCAATTTTAAACATTTTAAGCTCTTTTTTAGACCACACTCACTATGAAACTACTTTACGCACATGATGAGTCTATAATTTTTCGTTTATGACACTACTAATTTGACATTAACTAAATAATTTAATTTAACCAAATAATTATTGACTTTGATTACAGGTACATTGTTTCTGATTGTGATTCCATAGAAGTAATGGTTGATAATCACAAATGGCTTGGTGATACCAAAGAAGATGCAGTTGCAGGGACAATGAGAGCAGGCAAGTCTTTCCTTTACCTTTTGTGCATGGTAAATACTTTTAGCATTTGAAAATTGCTTTACGTACCTTTTGGGATAATAATTAATAATTTGTGCGTTAATAAATTTTGGATATTGGTTTTTGTATTTGTCCAATAGGATTCGATTTGGATTGTCTAGTCTTTTGACATAATAATGTTTTTGTGCACAGTAGATTTTGGAATTTGGTTTTGTCTTCCTCAAAAGAATCATCAAGCTAATGGTCCAGTCATTCTCATAGTCATGTCTGGAGGGTGTAAAGACATCTCATTTGCTAAGAATGACGATAATATCAAAGCTATTTTGTGGGTTGGATACCCTGGAGAGAAGGGAGGGCGTGCTATTGCAGATGTTGTTTTTGGCAAATATAATCCAGGTATATGTTTTAATTATTTGGTTGTGTGTTTAATAAATTTCTGTATGGGTTTTTCAGTATTAATATTGTATTATATATCTTATACAGGAGGAAGATTACCATTCACATGGCATAAAGCTGATTATGTTGATATGTTGCCTATGGCCTCAATGCCTTTGAGGCCAATTGATAGCCTAGGCTATCCTGGTCGAACTTACAAGTTCTTTAACGGCTCCACAGTCTATCCATTTGGCTACGGGCTTAGTTATACCGAATTTGATAATAAACTAACATCTTCGAAGAGGTCAGTCAATATCAAATTGGAAAAGTACCAGCATTGCCGTGATTTGGGATACGAAACTGATTCGTATAAACCTTCTTGTCCTGCAATTCGAGTGGACGATTTTGATTGCAATTATCAATTTGATTTTAAAGTTGAAGTTCAGAATGTGGGCAGTAGAGACGGAAGTGAAGTAGTTATTGTTTATGCAAAGCTACCAAAAGGAATTCCGGCAAGTTATATTAAGCAAGTCATTGGTTTCGAGAGGGTTTTTGTTCCAGCTGGTGGAGTCGAAAAAGTTAAGTTCGAGTTTGATGCTTGCAAGAGCTTGTTTGTTGTAGACTACAGTGCATATAGAGTTTTGCCTTCTGGTGGACACACTATCATGGAGACGACATAGTTTCATTTCCACTTGAAATCAGTTTCAGTAAGGAGTGCACTTCCACTTGAAATCAATTATCATGTTGGGAGACATCTCCACTTGAAATCAGTTTCTGTAAGGAGTGTAATGATTAGATATTGCTTTTAGTATATTGTTATGAGTTTAGCTCATAGTAGTTTCATTTATTTAGCAGTATTTTTAGTTAGGGTTAGCTAATTAATTGTTTTGGATTCAGTTGAATATTTTATGCTAGTTTTAATTATCTTTTCTAAGCAAGGTTTCTATGCTATTTTAATTATCTTTTCCATGCAAGTTTATGTTGCAGTGACTTTTTTTCACAAAAATAGTCTGCTGCTTCCACAAAGCGAAGCGAATGCAATGGTACGTAGCAGTATAAGCATCATAGCTGAAATATATAGCCTGGGAAAGAAGAGGGAGGTTTGGCAGAAAACCTGATCTTTTTCACAAGACCTTTTCCTTTTATTGTTTTTCATTAGGAGAAAATTTATAATACACAAGGAGTAATTAATGATATATATGTAGTAGTTATTTCATGAACTCATTTTGAGAAGAAAGACACAAAAAAGAGAAACAGAAACATGAGAGAGAAAATAAAAAAAAATTGAATGGACGAGAAAATCTTTTCTTATCACTTTTGATGAATATGGATATAATTTTTTATTTTTTTTGTCTATTTCTCTCTTTAAAATAGGCTCATGAAATAACTACTGTACATATTACTAATTACTTCTTATATATTATAAAATTTCTCATTCATTAGTATTTAATTGGAAAAATATACCTCACCATTCATCAAGTCTAACTAGCAAGCTTCCTCACCATTCATAAAAGTTTACTAATCCACATGCAAGTCTAGTACTTCGTTTGATTGCACCCGACAAGTATATTTGAAATTGCAAGCCATTGAGTCATGACTCTTTCAACTAACTTCACTTGAAAGATACATAATAGGAGCATATATTTATATATCTACATAATGATCAACTATAAAGCTCACAATTGTCATTATAATTGTGGACGTATTATGTATAGGTGAGAAGTTGAACTACCAAAACTCAAGCTTTCCCAACAAATCATCCTTGAAACTTCCCTATTCTCCAATTCTCGCATCTATAAAACCCCAATACAAAGCGAAATCAATACATCAAATTGATTAGTTAATTTGCACCCTTTGCAATTGCTATACAACTCTATTTAATTACTGTTGAATTCCTCCTTGCCATATCCAAAACTATGGCTTCTCTTCTTTTTCTGATGTTTATTTCACCACTCTTGCTGATCGCTTTATCCTCGATAGACAATGCAAGAAAGGGAGAGGCGCGCAGGGTTTTGGAGACAACATTGCCTAAGGTTCCAGAGCTTCCTAAACCTGAATTGCCTGAGCTGCCACCATTGCCTAAGGTTGAACTTCTACCATTACCTAAACCTGATTTCCCTGTCTTGCCAAAACCTGAAGTGCCCAAATTCCCTGAATTGCCACCTTTCCCCCACTTTCCTGAGTTTCCAAAGCCCACATTGCCTACCATACCAACTCTTCCCAAGGACATCAAGCCACCTCAGTCTACTACTCCTTAAATGGCCATACCATATAATTTTTGTCAATATATTAGACATATACATATTGCAAAATAATTTTAGGGAAGTGAGACTTTAGGTTTCTTATTGTATTTAAGTTTACATATCTATGTTATTTTACATTATTGAGAGGTTGTTGTACTTAAGTTTCTATTTTCTATTTTCATATTTCATGTTACATGTGAGATTTTAATTAAACTTGCTTGATATAACAGTGCTGATCAACTCCATTACAGAAATACAGAGACTATGCCTTGCAAAATCTGATTCCTCCTCTTCTGATAATAATCAATTAATATTTGCTACTGGTATAAATAAACAATTCAAAGTCCATGATCATTGCAAAAGATTCTAGTAATTTTTCCTGAAAGAAAAATCCCATGTTTATCTATGAATTCTAATTTGAAGTCTGAGTTCAAATGTCTTTGGCATGAAAAAAGGGGCATGTTATGCAAGAGGATGTAGCCATTACGTAGATAAGGTCCAAATGGCATTCTACTTAATGAACCCCAGCCAAAATTTAATAAATAGTTTATTTTTCCTCTCTAATTACGCCACAAATGTTCATTAATTTATTAACTAAAACTTTCACTTCTCATGGAAATAAGAAGAAAATTTAGAGGATAAGCTTGTAACAAGAACACTATAGTTGGCTAGCTATCAAAAGAAGAGTAATATGAAATGTTGGTAAAGAATATGATAATATATATATATATATATAGAAAAAAGAAAAAATTTAAAAAAAAATGACGTAGAATTGCTCTCTGTTACAAAATAATATAAATCATATTTTAGGACTTCATCTAAAAAGTCAAATTTGTAGGTTAAGATAATTATTTGACATGATATCATAGTCTTGATAACTAAATAATCTTCAATTCAAATCTCATCATCCTTTTTTTTTAATTAATTAAGCATAAGGTAGTATGAGTTTGTATAAATTTCAAGTCTAAAAAGCTTTCACTTGAAGAGTTATGTTAGAACAAGCTTGTGCAATCTCAATTTTAAAAGACTTTCACTTGAAAGATGTATTAGAAAACAATATAAATCATATTTTGAAGTTTCACTTAACAACTTAATTTTTTAAATTGAGATGTCTTTGACACTCTTTGAAGCTTTCGGTAGTCTTCTTTATTATTACATCATTGATGATAATTGTTTATATTTTGAATGTCTAATTTGAAGTTTCATGATTGATATGTTGAAGATGTATAAAAATAAAATAAAAAAACATAATTTATCGTATAGATTCGAAACTAGTAAATGGAGCTAGTTTTTTGAAAATTTCTTACCAAAGTCAATGAAAAAATAATTTTTCTCGCTAATAAATTTTTATTCAAAATTTAATGATTGAAATAAAACAATAATAATGAAAATAATTAACAAGTTTATAGAAATTAAAAAGAAAAATAAATATTTATTTTCTCTTTTCAAAAAGTTTTGTTGGAAAAGATGCAAGTATGTTGTAGTTGTTCACCTACTATGTGAACATGCAAGACATTTAACTAAAATAGAATAAAATATTAAAGCTTTATCAATAAAATTGTTTAATTAGAAAGATGGAACATTAACTATGTTAGATATGCTAAAATTAATGAAAGCCTTATTGTTTTCTTTTGCCTTAATCCTTCGACTAACTTTTTATCTAGCTAGTTGACTTGCATATAAAACACAATTAGCCAACCATATCTAGCTACATGAAAACAATTTGTTGAACTAACAAGAAAATTACAAGGGTTTGTTTAGTTTCTCTCAACAATATACCATGGAAAATCACCAACCTAACTAGCTGAAATCTCCAATTTACAAGTATAAAAATGCCATTGGGCCTAGTTGTAGCATCTCGTTAGAGTTTGTTATTGTGAATTACTATTGTAAGTTGATATTTCTCTTTTGCTTCTTCTATATTTTGTATACATCATATTGACTTGGCCATGTGGATGGCACCTCACTCATCAATCTGTTGTGTAATTAGTTAGATAATTAGATATTATTTAGTGTTAGTTAGACAATTAGCAAGATAGTTAGATATCCAAATAGTTAGTAAGTTAGTTCTTTTCCTTCTTTATTATGGTAGTATATATAGAGAGTAAGAAATGAGCTACGAAGAAAAGCAATGAAAAACTCTGCAATAACTTAATTCTTCATCTTTGTAAACATATTTTTTTATTAAGAAATAAAAGAAGTAGCTCGATTTTTGCCTTCTTTCATGGTATCAAAGGCTAACACAAATTAGGTTTCATTGTATTTTTCTTCATTGATTTGAGCAATTGTTACCGATATTCAAGCAAATTTGGTGCATCAATGGTGTTAGTTTCTTCACTTTTCTCCACATAAGATCCTAGATCACCCTTCCACCTTCACCATACCGATAACCACAGTATTGTGATATTTCTCCTCATTTTTTCAATTCACAAAAAGACTGGGTTCATTGATGGTTCAATTACTCGCTCCGGATAGAGATGATGCTTTGTTTGATCCATGGTTGAGGTGCAATAATCTTATTATCTCCTATCTTCTTAGGTCAATTTCACCTCCGATTGCTCGCTACTATCTTCTATGTGGATTCAGCATCAAATATATGGAAAGTTCTAAAGAAACATTTCTCACATGTAGATGATTCTAAGGTATGCAACTTATAACACACATTGAGTTTAATCAATTAGGGAAATCATAGAATTGATAAGTATTTTACTAAATTGAATTTAGTTTGGGAAGAGTTAAGGAATTATAGGCCGGTGCCACACCATGAATGTAGCAAATGCAATGTTGATTACTTCAAGAAATATATATATCTACATCAAAGGAATTGTGTATTTTGATTTCTAATTGGCCTTAATAAGTCTTATGTACATTGCAGTCTCATATGATTATGATGAACATAAAGTATACAACCTAGTGATTAGAGAAAAATCTCATAAATGTATTAATTGTCAGCAGCTTTTTATAGAGTCTTAAAGATCTCAAATGATGTTTTCAACAAAAAAAGGCCAACATTGAGATTAATGTGTACAAGGAATATTTTTTTTTTCTTTCACTATGATTTTTTTCCCATTGGGTTTTTTTCTAGTAAGGTTTTAAAGAGGTATCTTCCTTATACGATGGACATTTAAGGGAGAGTGTTATGAAATAATGAATGTCCATTTCATATTCTCACTACATATGTGATTCAATTCACCATTCAATACGAGAAATTAAAAGGATGATGTAATTTATTCAATTATTTATGCATCTTTTAATGGTTCATAGTCTCTTTCTAATCTTAAGGCTTATAAATAGGCTTGATTGTGCACAAGTATTTTGTAGAGATTAAGAAATTATTTTGATTTGTTATCTCTTGTATTCACTTTATTTTATAGTAAATTCATTATTCTATCATTTTTCTCTTCAATTCTACTATTATTACCATTTGTTTTATAACAATTTCTTTCTATATTAATAATGTATAAGAAAAAAATACTTTATATATTAACAAATGCATGTAAAAATATTAGTTAGGCATAAAAAATTGATAGAATTTGTAGTTAGAATGTCAAAAAAATGACATACTAATTAATTTTATGCCTTTTGTTGAAAACCAAAAATAGATTTATAGAATATATGTATTATTATATTTGGTTACGTGTATGTAATACAAGAATAATGACATTGTTAAGAAGAGGGAAAACTATGAAAGAAAAGTTTGTTATTTTAAAACTGTATGAGTTCCGAGTTACAAAAGGGAGAAAAGGCATATATAGAAGTTGACTTAATGAGATATAATCCTATACAATTAGCTCACAATTATCTCTATGTACACTTGTATACTAATTAAACATATGTACAATAAACATTTCTCAATACTCTCCCTTAAGTGAGGGATTTATACGAATCATAAACGCCTAACTTGGATTAAAAAAAATAATAATTAAGCTTACTACCCAAGGCTTTGGTGAATATGTCAGCAAGTTGCTCTTTAGATTGAATAAAAACAAGCTTAAGCAACCCAAATTTAATCTTGTCTCTAACTAGATGACAATCAATGTCAATGCGTTTTGTTCTCTTATGAAAAACCGAGTTTAAAGCAATGTGGATCACGGCTTTGTTGTCACAATGCATAAAAGCAGTAGGTAAAGAGGAGACCTGCAATTCATTCAAAATACCAACTAACCAAACCAATTCACAAGTGGCTGAAGCCATAGCTTTGTATTCGACCTCTGCAGAAGACCTAGAAACTATGTTCTACTTCTTTTTCTTCCAAGAGATCGAGAGTTGCCAAGGAAGATGTAAAATCCAATTAATAATCTCCTAGACATAGGATAAGAAGCCCAATCTAATAAACGAGTAGAGTTTGATTTGAAAATCATTGGAAGAAGATAATAGAAAGCCAAGTCCTGGACTCGCCTTTAAGATATTGTAATACTTGAAGAGCGAGAATTTATGTAAAAAACCTTCGATTGATGCATAAATTGATCGAGTATTTACATAATATAACAAATATCAAGGTGAGTCATAGTAAGATAAATCAACTTGCTCACCAATCGTTGATATTCGGTAGGTTACGGCAAAAGTGAATCGAGAGATTGTAGTAGAGAGTGTGTCATCAAATTAAAACAAAGTCGGTTTTAAATTCTACTCGATAGGCATCTCAACGAGTTTAGCAGTAAGTAAACCAGCATCATGTAGTTGGTTTAGATAGATGGTATGATCTGGATCTTGTAACTTCTATGCCCAATAAGTATTTCAAGTCACTCAAGTCCTTTATCTAAAAAGTGTCATGCAAGAATGCTTTTAAGAACCGAATGCCGACCACATCAATCCCTTTGATCGGTATATCATCGACATAGACTAATAAAACAATAAGTTTGTTATCGGTGACTTTGGTAAACATGAAATAATCATACGGGTGAAACCCGCTAGAAACATCTTCCGACTAAATTTAGAGTTTCATTGCCTAGATGCTTGTTTAAGACCATAAAGGAACTTAAGCAACTTGCACACTAAACCCTCATCGTGCTCAC